CTGTCCGGAGGGCGCGGCCTGCCCAGGCCCCGCCCGACCTCAGGGGCTCCTGGTGGCTCCCGGCCGGCAGACAGAAAGCGCAAACCAAACCCTCCCCAACCGCTCTCACCTCGTCCACGTCTCCAAGGTAAGTGCCAGTCCAGTCTCCCCCTGGCCCCTCTCTGACCCTCCTTGGGGCTAGGGTCGGGGGAGACAAAAGGGCCACCACCACCCCCACCAAAAAAAGAAAAAGAAATCATGACTGCTTTTTGCAAGCACGTTTTGCAAGCATCAATTTCAAATACACACGCCGCGCGTTTGCGCACACACACTCATGCACACGCACACGCACCCTCCCACTCCACCAAACCCACACTCACCAGCCCCGTAGAGGCCGCAGATGTGCCTGTGAGGGGCGCATTTCATTAGCTGCTGGAGGAAATGTTGGCTAACGTTCCAGGTGGTCGGCAGCATCTTCATTCCGTGGATGGGAAGGGAGGCGAGAGGAAGAAAAAGTGCCTTTCCGGGGGTCCTCCCCCATCCCTGGGCAGGAGACTCCAGTCCCTGCAGGGTCACAGGAGGTTGCAGCCCCCTCCAGAGAGGCCATCTCTGGCGGATTCCGGGAACCTGGGGGAGGGATTGTTTTGTTTGCCTGGATCATTCCTGCCTCGGTTCCCTATGGCGTTTTGAAATGAGTGCAGCCTTGAAGTTGGCTATGTGCTCCCAGTGGCAGGGTTTTCTGTGCTGGGTGAAGGTTATTAGCAATCGCAGCCTTTCTTTCTGGTCAGGCCGCCTCGAGTTAGAGATGGGCAGAATGCGCGTGTTGTTGTGGCTTCCCGTCCTGTCTGCTGCCTCGCAATGTTTACTGTCTTTGTAGAAGGAGCATCGTGTTACATATTTTTTTATACGATCAGGCAAATAGTAAGTCCAGATTCAGGAAAGGATCAATCGTATTTGCGTCGGTGTTCTTCACACAGTCTTCAGGGGAGGGGAGCCAACGGATGTTGCCTGTCCCCGAGAGGACAGGAAGGGAAGGCTCAGAAAGGTGTATGTAGTTGCCCAAGGTGACAACAGGTGGCCATCGGAGAGCCCAGCTGACAGCAGCCCGAGGAAACGTGTTGAAAAATCGCGCTCTACGGTGTTGAATTCAGGCTGGCACATACACTGATATTTTAGGTCTGAGTGTTAGCCTTTCATAGAAGAGAGGGAAAGATCTTTTTCTCGAAAGGACACTCCTGATACGGTGGAAGTATTAGTTCTGAAAATGGTTTGTTACCAATTCCCCAGCCCCATTTCACAGGTGAGAAAACCGAGGGAATGCGTCCATGGAGCTCCCACCACGAGGTGCAGAGCCAGGCCTCCAAACCAGGCTTTCCGATTGCAGCTCCTCTCTCCATTCTGCTCACCCGCCCTTCCCACACACAGAAAGCACCTCGATTTTCCTCAGGATGCTGAAGAGGAGATCATTAGCAGCCCAGAGCCTGTATTTCTCAGGGCAGAAGCTTTCTTTCACCTTAATCGTGAATACCTTTCATACCGAAAAAGAAATGCAAATGTAGAAAGAGTGCTATTCTCAGTGGTGAATTAAATGACATAAAAATGGCAAAAGACTAAAATAACTACATCAGCTTTACTTGAAAAGCAGTTAAAAAGCTATCTGGAAGGCCTGTCTCGGTACAATTTTAGTCTCTCTGCCACTCTCCGCCCATCCTCCCCTACCCTGAGAAAGTCCTGCCACGTGGCATGTCTGCTAGCTTTTGTTCGTAAAAGATGAAAACTCACAGGTTTGGGTGCTTTTTATCTCCATTCACATATTGCTTCTTTGCTCTGTGAATGGTTACGGTCAAAACATCCCAACACGTCCCTGGAATGACCCAAACTACAATTCATTGGCAAGAGAATTTTGACTGGCATCCACTTTTTTTTTAAGCATATTTTTTTATTGATTCAGAGAGGAAGGGAGAGAGAGAGAGAGAGAGAGAGAAGAGAGAGAGAGAGAGAGAGAGAGAGAGAGAGAGAGAGAGAGAGAAAGAGAGAGAAACATCAGTGATGAGAGAGAATCATTGATCGGGGCTGCCGCCTCATTTGCGTGCAGCTTATTTGGCCACGTGGCCTCCTGTCTTGTTGGGATCTGTCACTTGTCCAAAGGTTGAATTTAGTTGAATACGATTGTTCGTGTCCACCTCTTGTGGGAGCCCTAGTATCAATGCCAGTTTGGAACTAGGATGCTATAGGATGAAGCCTGCTTGTCTGTGTGAATTTGTACCGTAAACACATTCATTCATTTTTAGACTTGTAGGCTTCAGGTTTTTAAAAATTAAATCATCCATCCATTTCTTTACTGAGGGCTAGATCGATGTCCCCAGGTCGTCAGTTCTCAGGGACACCCACTTAGAATGGGGGAGGAGGAGGATTGGGACCCAGATGTTCTGTATTCAAGCTCTTAGGCAGGGCTTTGGGACAGCATTGTGTCCCTGCCTATTGGATGTTCAGAGATTCCATCACACATCCAACACCCAGTGATTGTCATGAACTTGGCAACTGTCCTAGGCATTCAGAATTCAACAAAAGGAAAAATGAAATGATTCAGGAGAAAGGCCTTCACATGTTGAAACGTGTATTCTGCTGGTGGACAAAATTAACAATGATTATGAAGACACTTCATAAGGACATTTTTCTTAAACAAAAATGTCTTGAGTGTGTTATGCTGTGCAAGACAGATAAAAACGTGCTCATATTCTCCCACATTTCCTGGGAAAGAAATCTGGGGAACCCTTCGTGCCGAGGGATGAAATCTGGGCGTGGACATAGTGAGCCTTCCCAGGTGTTTAGGGCCCCTCCCAGGTGAGCTGCTCACGGATCCAGGAGTATTCCTTCCCGGAACCTTCTTGGATGGGAGATGGAATGCCTGTGAGGGAACGCAGGCGTGTGCAGGAGCTGGGGGAAGAGGTAATGAAGAGATCAAAGAGGAAGACACGTTTCTGAAAAGGACACATTTTCACGTATGTATTGGATTGTTCTCGGGAGGAACCCAAGGGCTTGGGGAGGGGGGGGGAGGGGGGGCTGAACTTGGAAGGTGAACCCAGAAGCCTCAGGGTCTGTCATAATTGGCTTTGGTGATTAATGCTACGTTCCATCTATAATAATAAAAGCGTAATATGCTAATTAGACCAAACAGCCGAATGACCTTCCGGACGTCATTCCAGACGTCCTTCTGGACGAAGCCACTGTGGTGGGGGCCGAGGCAGAGGTGGTTAGGGGTCATCAGGCAGGCAAGCAAGCAAGCAAGCAAGCAGTTAAGGGCCATCAGGCAGGCAGGCAAGCAGTTAGGGGCAATTAGGCAGGCAGGCAGGTGAGCGGTAAGGAGCCAGCGGTCCCAGATTGCGAGAGGGTGCAGGCCGGGCTGAGGGACACTCCCCATCCTGTGCATGAATTTTGTGCACCAGGCCTCTAGTAAAGCAATAACAGGACATACGGTTATATAGTATAACCACATGAGGTAGTATTCGCTCACAATACAATAACATAATAGTCTGTCCATTTCACATTTCTGTTTTTATGTGTTAGTCACGTGGCAGGCAGGAATGGCTGAAATGAACCATTGGGTGACTGGCCCATAGGGGGCCATCCAGGCCCTGTGCCCTGGAAGGTGGATGGTGAGGAATTCTTGCACAATCTCCCCTTCCCGTTGCCTGGATGGCATGTGTTGGTGAGAAACGATTGATTAGGTTGGATTCTCGGGGGAGTCGCTGGCCCATTTCCTGCCTCCCGGTGTAACCAGGACCAGACTACAACTATGCGAAGCGTTGGATGGCAGAAAAGTGGTCACAGGGTTATTTGTGCTACCTGTGTTCCTGAGATCAGAAGTTACGAGTACAGATGTCTGCATCTCCTCCGCCGTGTTCTTGCCCGCAGGCCCCTACGCTGAGGCAGCGGTGGCACAGTGCCCTCCGTGACCCCTGACAAACAGAGGAAACCCTGAGGAAAGGGAACAGGAGACCCACGATGTTTTTGTTCTGCTTTATGATCTGGGGGAGCTCACGGAACGATTTTGTTGGAGCTCCAAGTGGCGTGAAAGGTGCAGAGGGCTTTGTGAACACCTGGCTTTTGGAGTCAACCTTCTGGACAAAGAAGGAAGGAAGAGAAGGAGGGACGGGGGGCGGGAGGGAGGGGGGGGAAATATCCCACCTGAGTTTGGGGAAAAGGAGAAATGGTTAGCCTTCAGGTTGGTTTTTCTTCGCTAGGTACATAATAATAGAGTTTGTGCCTTCGCACCCGACTTAACTGGCGCTGACCTCTAGGAATACCCTGTCTGAAAACACATGGGAAAAACATTATCATTTTCCCCCAAATGCGTGCCCCTCTTAATTGATCCACTGCATCAGGAAGTCCTGCCGGCCCCCAGCATGCCGGAGGGGTGGCTGCGGCTCCAAATTTGTCTGCAAGAGGCATTGTGCGTGGTGTTTACCTTTTAATTAAACAAGGCGTCTTGCAAATTAAACACATGTTCCTGCACATCACAATTTAGTGAACATCCTTTCCATTGTTCCTCCTGCTGACGCTCGCCCAGCATCAGGCATCCACACGCAACACAGCCTCTCGCCAGCCCCCTGCCCCACACCGCACTGGAGCACCCTCCCAGACTGACTTCTCTGCTCTCCCACTCAACACACTGGGTGCCGTGGGAAATAGGGCACTGGCCCCGGCCCGTGTGGCTCAGTCGGTTGAGCATGGTCCTATGCATGGAAAGGTCTCTGGTTTGACTCCTGGTCAGGGCACATAACATGCCCAGGTTGGAGGTTCAGTCCCCGGTCTGGGCGCACACAGGAGGCAACTGACCTCTCTCTCTCTCTCTCTCTCTCTCTCTCGTGCGTGGTTTTTCAATACAGATTCGTGCAATAGGCCTTCCCTTCCCCTGGCTGCAGGCACCGGTTTTCCTCTGGCACCCGGGCCCCAGGCCTTCGCTCCTCCGGCCGGAGCCTTCAGTCTTCGCTCTGCCACTTCATGTGCATACATATGCAAATTAACCGCCATCTTTGTTGGGTTAATTTGCATACTCTCCTGATTGGCTGGTGAGCATAGCGGAGGGATGGTCAATTTACATGTTTGTCTATTATTGGGTAGGATATATATATATATATGTATGTATAATAGGGGACTGCATCAGTGTGTCCAGGCCTGAAAGGGTTGGACCCTGAACGGATGTACGTCTGGGACTCTTCACTGGGGATTTGACAGTGAGTGACACCCGAGGGGCAGATGCAGCTGATACAGGCAGAGATGCGGGAATGCAGAAGCTGGTTTCTATTAGCTGCACCTTTTTTCTTCACACGCACACCAGTCGTTTGACATTTCCACTTCACCGTGGCGCTTCATCGCTGTCATCGTCTTACTGTCAGGTCCTCCCCATCGTGACATGAGTGTCCCTTCTAATGATTGCATGGATCTGAACTCCGACATCCCGTCTCCCCCGCCCCGTC